TACTCTCCACACCAGATCACTCAACACACTGATCGAATTCTCTTCACTTTAGTCTGCCCATTTCTCTTCACCCCATAGTTGCCAGTGTGAAATAAATAAGGAACCAAGATCTCTCACCTCTGAAATAAACTTCTAGTATTCATTATGCCATTTAATCAGTTTAGTGTAATGTCTTTTCAGAGTGCTGAGAAATCACTGTTGCAGCCATGGTGAATGGTCTTCTGGCCTTATTAGATATAGGAACAAGTTGCTTACCAAACCAATAGCACGAAAGTACTCAGCCACAAGCTTTGAAAAGTGGAAGTAAATGGGATCTCAACAGTACTTTTGTAAATCTCAAGATGTCTTTCTCTCCCATAAATCAACACCCCTTCTCCATGTAGCATAGAGGCACTGACAATGAAAGGACTAGATGGTGGGGCCCTCAAAGTATGTTATGGAAAATGGCTACTTTGCAGGAGCTTGAGGATCCAAGGGCAGGGTTGCTTTATGCATTAATCAGCTAATCAATACTATATATGTGCAGCATTGTCTCAGGCAATAATAGGGCATAAGAGATAAAGTCTCTGTCCATTTCTGTTTGAAATACAGTTTTGGGTAGATATAGAAAACCAGATGACTGCTAAACAGAGTTGAGGACCAACAGGGTATAGTGGACAGTCTCTGAGGAAGGGATTCTCCACAGCAGTGGAGGGCTGTGAGCAGGAAAGCTGCCTGACACTGTTAGTTGAGATGTGAGTTCCAAGTCTTGCTCTCTTCAGAGTCTTTTTCAGCTAAGGATATAATCAATATGGCATGCACTAGATTTTAATCATATCATTCGAATTTCTGTAGCCACTACTCAGAATGAGCATCTTTTCATGTTTATTTACCCCTTTTATTTTCTTTTCTGTACATGGCCCATATCATCAGACTGTAGAAAAAAATATCAGACCTGAGAAAAAAGTCTTTGATGCAAATTGAGAACTTGTCTTTGCTCCTTGAATAACTGTCTTCCTAAGTCCTACATACATCTGTGAACAAAAATAAGGAGCAGGATGTTTTCTTAAAAGAAGACTTGCTTCCTGTTAGTGTCTGCCTTTCTCTGGCAATGGAGCTTCCTCTTCTAGACCAGGTCACCAAGGGAGGTCAGGAGGATGTGATGGAATTTGTACATGCAAACACCATAGTCGTCATTAATGATGCTTTGTTTCCTTTAAGACCATTCAAAAGCAAGGGAGAAAATCTACACAGATGGACAGAGGGAGTTGTGTGTAGGCTGAGGAATGTGAGAACTCTCTGATAAAAGCAAAAGATCTGAGTGTACAAATCTTACAAGCATGAAGTCCAACATCTTATCTGGTTTGAGAGAAATGTCTATTGAAAAACTACTACATGTATTTGAAAACAACTTACTCAAGTTCCAACAGGATATGCATCACTGTCCACCTCAGATATTAATGTCATGTTGCATCAGCACCAAAGACTCAACCTTCCTAGCCTGGCAGTCAAAAGAGCTCTAACTGTGCCTGATGTTTTAACCACTTAGTGGCCAGAGAACAGAATCTAAGCTGCCTGAGACAGAGAATAGAGTGCATCCAGGGTGGGATGCAACTTGGCATCTGAGTATTATTATAAAGCATTCTTGTCTATCTTCTGAGCCTTGGTGTTCTTTTACGCAAGCAGGAGAAAATTATTAGCTCATTGAGTTACTGTAAGCATTAAATACTATGTTGCTATAAATGTCTGCTTTTCAGTCTTCTTTTCTCTTATTGTATCATTTATGCAGCTAAGCTGATGTCCATGAAGGCAGGTGCTCAATATACTTGTGCACCCCTTTGGGTTGCGGCACCTTTGTCAAACCTCCATCTCTAAATATATTTACATTAAGATTCATAACAGTAGCAAAACTATAGTTATGAAATGAAGCAGTACCAGATATAGAGTCTAATTTTTATTGAAAGCCACAACCATTTGCCTGTGTTCATAACAATGACAATTGCATCTAAAAACTAGGCTTGTTAATACTTGCTGCATATTGATGGTAATACTGAGGCCCCATGCACCAGTTCATTCCTGTCACCTTTGCCAAACTCTTTCCTCATATACCTTGGCTGTATTGTTTTATCATTCAGTTTGTGCAACAAGCATTAATGAGTAGGCACACTTAGTCTCATGAGTCTTCAGCATTACTGCACATTCTTAAGCCTCTCATGTGAGATGCATCAATAGGCATAAATGCACCTTCTGATAACCATCCATTGCTTTGAATTTTGTCTGCCACTAGCCTTTGTGAAGAAACACATTGATTTGTATGAATTACAAGGATTCTATACACAGAGGACATTCCTTCAGGCAGGATTTGATACTTAATGACCATAGGCTGGTAGAACTGCATGAATTAAATATGTAATCTATACTTAATGGCAAAGTAAAAATTACTAAAACCAAAAAGGTATTTGTTAAAATGAGCTCATCTATAAAATGAGACCATAATACATACATACATACATACATACATACATACATACATACATACATATTTTCCATTTGCTACAAGGAGTAAACTGAAATTTTGATTACAAACAAACAGACAGACAAACAGACAAACAGTAACAACAACAACCCATTCAGGTTCTCATTTCATAGACACCAAAATAATTCTTGGGTCTAATGACTGGTCCAACTTGGGATCCATATCATGGGGAGGACGGGCACCAAGGCCTGACACTACTTTGCTGTGATGTGCTTACTGATGGAAGCCTGGCATGGTTGTCCTCTGAGAGGTCCTACCAGCAACTGACTGAGACAGAAGCAAATACTTACTTGCAAGCATTGGACTGAAGTCTGACACCACTATAGTTGAATTAGGTGAAGGACTGAAGAAGCTGAAAGGGAGAGTGACCCCATAGAAAGACCAGCAGTCTCAACTAACTCAGGCGCCAGGGAGCTTTCAGAGACTAAACCAGCAACCAGGAGCATACATGGACTGGTCCAAAGGCCCTGGCACATATGTAGCAGAAGTCTACCTGGTCTGGCCTTAGTGGGAAAAGATGTGCTTAATCCTTGAGATTTGAGGCCCTAGGAAAGGGGGAAGCCTGCCAGGGTGAGGGAGCACTCTCTCGGAAGCAAGGGGATGAGGAAAACAAACTGGAATGAGAGGGGGGACTGAGGGGGGCAACAAGTGGAATGTAAATTAAAAGAAAGTCTTGTAAGAGACACAAGCTTGATGGAACAGAGAAGTTGATACGTTACAGGAAGACTTGAAGGAGAACAAATGCTTGGCTTCTGAGAAAAAAGGATGCCAACATGTCTGAACTCATGACCTTCCTTTCCCCCTCCCTCCTTCCCTCTATTTCATCTGTGGTGTGTGTGTGCGCGTGTGTGTGCATTCGTGCAGGTGCACATGCCTATGTGTGAGCACATGGAGGCTACAGGTCATCATGAAGTTGCTTCTATTTTTTTCCATTTATTTATTAATTTTTTTATAAGACAAGCTCTCTTACTTAACCCAGAACTCTGCATTTTGGCTAGACTGGATGCCCAGGGGGACTCTAGGACTCTCCTATCTCTGTTTCCATTACCAGGAAGGGTTACACACATGTTTCCAGGCTTAGCTTTTGTGAGGGTACTGGGGATTCGAGCTCAGATCTTTATGCTTTTGTGGCATTTTACCCACCGAGCAATCTCCTTTACCCAACTTCTTACACCTATTTCAAGTAATAGCCCTGTTTATCTGACCAATTTGTCAAACTGCATTGAATGCAACTGGCCTGGGAGACACATAAGGCCCTATGTCTAGGAACAATGCAGAACTGAGGTTTTGCAGGTTTGTAGTGAGCACACAACAGGGGTATAATTTCTGAAATGTTGGGAGGTGTATCAAGGAGGTTGGACTGTCTCCTTGGTAACAGGTATTCTTTAGATCATCAACACAAAAATAGATGGATTGTTAATAGTTTGGACAAACCAGTATGTTACGTTAGGATATTCTAGATTAGTCAACTGATTTCTAAAGAAAACAATGGACAGGATTCTCACAAAATATGGGAAGATTACACTGCATGGACATTTTAATTGAAGAAAATCAAACACTAACTAAGGAAATACTGAGGAAGGCACAGTGCATATGAGGAGTGAAACCCTATGCCAAATCCTTTATGCCATAAGTATCATTGCAAATCAGAGTCTTAGTACTGTCTATTATGGTGAGGAGACTCCATGGCCAAGGCAAGTTGTAGAAAAAAGCTTATTTTGTGCTTACAGTTTCAGAGGGTTAGAGTCCATGACAGTCAAGGGCAATAGGCAGGCATTAATTGCACTGAGCAGTAGCTAAGAGTTGGTTCACATACACAAATGTAATTTAGAGAGAGAGAGAGAGAGAGAGAGAGAGAGAGAGAGAGAGAGAGAGAGAGAGAATTTGTGAGCTTCTGAAATCTCAAAGTGATATATCCCTAGTGATATACCTTCTCCTCTAACAAGGCCACGTCTCCTAATCCCTCCCAAACAGTTCCACCAATTATTCAAATCTATTCTAATTCAAATCACATTTTTCTCCTTGGCCTCCATAGGCTTTCGGCCATATGATAATGCAAAGTGTGTCTTAAGTGATAATTGCATACTTTTATATAATTGATAGCTTTCAATGTACCTTTTTATTTGACCCAATCACTTGATGTAAAGCTGCTTTTTCTTACTTTACTGTAGCTCAGGCTGACTGTGGATTCTATCATCCTGCTTTAGTCCTCCAAGTGCTGAGATTACAGGAGATAAAGCTGTTTCTAAAATGTCATTGGTAGTTCTTTGGTCTTTTATCAACTTTAGAAGGAGCTATTTGCCCATTAGGCACTTGCTGTACTAGTTAGATGCAGTTACCCAACACCCATAGAAAATGAGAAAATTAGATGACTTTTGACCTCTCTTCCCACTGTGTTTGCCTTTACTGCTCAGGATGGTGAAACCTGTATTATATTGTTTTTCTTTTACCATATACCATAAATGATAAAGTTGTAACATATACAGTCCTGAAATAGGACTTTATTGCTTTTATCTGGAGAAAATATCATGGATTTTACTGAATGCTCAATATTTTTCACATTTTTATGAGTTTGCCTGAGACAGTCACTATGGAAATCATCACGACAGTTACTTAAAAGATGAAAACTGATCTGCTGTGGGATCCAGCTATACCACACTTGGGGATGTGCCCAAGGGACACTTTATCCTACCACAGGAACACTTGCTCTACCATGTTCACTGCTGCTCTATTCATGATGGCCAAACTTTGGAAATGGCCCTGATGTCCCTCAACAGAAGAAAAGATAAAGAAAATGTGATAGATTTACAGAATTGCGTATTATTCAGTCATTTAAAAAATATGACACCATAAAATTTGTAGGCAAATAGATGGAACTAGAAAAAAATCATCCTAAGTTAGGTGTCTTGGACCCAGAAAGTCAAACATGGTATGTATTTGCTTATATGTGGATATTAGCTGTTAAGTCAATGATAACCAAACTATAATATATAGAACCACAGAGGTTAGGTATTAGAGTAAAAAAACTAGAGGGTACAGATAGATCTTGGTAGGAAAGAGAAATAGAATACATAGTTATGGATGGATGAGTGAGAGTTGGAACAGAAGGGTTAAGTGGAGAGGGGACAGGGAGTTGTGGGAGGGAATACAAGTAGGAACAGCTAAAAATTCAGGGGCATTTGAGGAATAGTATGGAAGCTACAGCAGAAACCTCCTAAAATATACATATAAAAGGCAATCTAAATGAAATTGCCAAATAATGGTGGAGACAGAGTCACAACTGTATCTCTTGTTCTCACAGCCTCCAGTGATGTGACTGGGTTATACCTAATTGAGTTGTTGGTTAAAGGAGTCCCATGGGAACTCCCAAACAGACTGTTGCCAAGAATACAAGTTGCTCTCCACAAGCTGACAGCAAGGCCCCATCACTGAAGACAATACTCACACAACTTGTTGAACATAGAGACGTTGAGCTGGTACCAACATATACTCTTCAATCCTATGTTCTAGTGTCTCTGGTACAGGAGCATACTCTTCACTCTACCAAAACCAAAGAGCAGAGCAGGGCAAGGCAGGGCAGGGCAGGGCAGGGCAGGGCAGGGCAGGGCAGGGCAGGGCAGGGCA